AGGCAGACAGGCAGACAGGCAGACAGGCAGACAGGCAGACAGGCAGACAGGCAGACAGGCAGACAGACAGACAGCCAGGCAGACAGGCAGACAGGCAGACAGGCAGACAGGCAGACAGGCAGAAAGGGAGACAGGCAGACAGGCAGACAGGCAGACAGGCAGACAGGCAGACAGGCAGACAGGCAGACAGGCAGACAGGCAGACAGGCAGGCAGGCAGCCAGACAGACAGGCAGGCAGGCAGCCAGACAGACAGGCAGGCAGGCAGACAGGCAGACAGGCAGACAGGCAGACAGGCAGGCAGGCAGGCAGCCAGACAGACAGGCAGGCAGGCAGCCAGACAGACAGGCAGAACAGCAGACAGGCAGACAGGCAGACAGGCAGGCAGGCAGGGCCAGCAGGCAGTGCAGGCAGACAGGACAGGCAGACAGGCAGAAAGGCCAGACAGGCAGACAGGCAGACAGGCAGACAGGCAGGCAGGCAGCCAGCACAGACAGGCAGGCAGGCAAGCAGACAGACAGGCAGACAGGCAGACAGGCAGACAGGCAGACAGGCAGCCAGGCAGGCAGGCAGCCAGACAGACAGGCAGGCAGGCAGCCAGACAGACAGGCAGACAGGCAGACAGGCAGACAGGCAGACAGGCAGACAGGCAGACAGGCAGGCAGGCAGCCAGACAGACAGGCAGGCAGGCAGCCAGACAGACAGGCAGACAGGCAGACAGGCAGACAGGCAGGCAGGCAGCCAGACAGGCAGGCAGGCAGCCAGACAGGCAGACAGACCGACCGACAGACAGACAGACAGACATATAGAGAGACCCATTTCAGGGGCGCTGTGATGGTTTTCACCATGCGGTGGCCAGGTCATTCCAATTCGCCTGGCTCACCAGTGACCAGGATGGGGTTTTGTTGCTTGGAGTAAATTCGGGAAACTTGAGGTTGTGAAGGAAGCTCTCTTTAAAACAATGCATGGACAGAGCATCTCATATAAACCTCTTCTACGTGCTTGTTACTGTTTGATCACGCTAGACATGAAATTGTTTTTTTCCCCAGATTTGGCTGTGCAACATCAAACAATTAGTATAGATTCAGGTACCTCCCCAGTTCCCAGTCTGTTTCAGGATGGGAAAATTGTGTTTTTTTTTGACATTTTTGGCAGGATCACCATGCCCCCAATGGTGGCATACACGAGCAAGGCTGCGCCGGGCCTACAATGGGTACCTTCCCCCAAATGATGGAGCCCTCAATTTCTGATTCTTTTTTGGTGGGTACTTAAGAACGGATATGTATATATATATATTCCTATTCATGCTGGTATGACCAACCCTAAGGGCACCATGGCACCACTGGTTGGCCACCTGAAGAAGAGACAAGGCTCAGGAACCTTTCAGAAGTCCGTCATGATATAGAAACAACCGCAGGGGCTGGTACACTACAAAATCAGGGTTCCTTCTGAAGTATTTTTTTTGATTGAAATAGTATCTAGAAATTTGGCAAGGCCGAACTTGTGTTGGTACTGCCAGGGAGCATCTATGAGGATCCTCAGCTTGATTTTAGCAGGTCATCGACTCATCGACCCCTGTTCAGAATTCAAGACTTATCAAGAAATCATCTAGAGATGGTGTTTGAACATATGGGACACCCCTTTAACTATTTTAACTGCTTGCAGATCTCTCCATCCCCAGGGTATCTCCAGTGTATGGTCCGCAGTGGAAGGTGATTCTTCAGGACGACCGGATGCAGCAACGTTTGGTGCTGTCTACATCCCAGACCGTTGACGATTGATGTTGAAAACCATGGAAAACGACTGGTTCCGTTGTGGGATATTCCTGCAGTTACTCCTAAGTTATACTTATATTGTTTTTCCAGTAATGTTGGGCAATGTCATAAACTTCCCACATGGATGGTTTATAGCACCCATAAAAATGGTGATGACTTGTGGATGGTTTCACTTGGGGATGGTTTATTGCTTTACTAAGAATATACTTGTTGTGTTTGTTGTTTTTTTCCAGTTTTTTTTTCGCTCAAGCGGCACCAAGCCGAGCCAACCATTTGCAGTGCAAAGTTAATCGGTTCACGGAAGTGCAGCAATGGCCAACATGCCTGAGAAGAATGTGAAGGAGGCATGCAGATTAAATCAGATTGATACATGTCTTGACAGCTGGCATAGAGTCTCATGGATTGGTCAAAGCGAGAGCTTGCTTGCGGTCTCTGGTGCAGTTCTTTTTTATCCTTTTTTATTGTGTTTTTCCCAAGACATTTGACACTTCAGCTGCTGCTTGATGGCTTGGCGCCCAAGACCACTGTCCGCACAGGCCAAGCTCCACGGGGTCAACGTCTCATTGATGGACAGCAGCTTCGAGAGTCGTATCTTTCAGGTTGCCATGGGTTTCTACAATGCTCTGACTTGTATGATTTGGGGGTTACCCCACGGGTTACCCCCTGACTTAGGAAACCTCCAGATGTCAGGCCATCATTGGGCCGTGATTTTGTTCGGCATTCGGGGTTTGTGTTCTTTTGGTTTGCTGGAAATGTAACTCGGGCGTTGAAACAAAACACAGCATGATAAAACACAATTCCCGGACAGAGGGCGCAAACTGCTGCGGGCTTGCAATGGATGGGGCATGCCGCACATTACGTAGTACTCGTAGGTGGTGTCTGTCTCCTCTACATCTTCTACGATTTCATCAACCTTTGTTATTTGCCTCCTCCTTGTCGCTTTACTTGTTTACATAATCCGTTTCAAATCGTGGCAGGTGGACTAAAGGTCCACTGACCACACTTCAGGAAGCTCATGTTGCCTCCAAAGGACACAGTGAGAGGTCGCACGATATGGATCTTCCACGAATTTCAACTTCTCAAAACCTTGACATGGCCCTGACATAGCCTAAGGAGTGGTCCGGAAGCACCGACAAGAACGGCGTAAGGCACACTCCGAAGTGCAGGCATTTTTGAAGACCAATGGATTCAACAGCGGAAAGGTGCCGACCCGCGGAGCGTGGGCAAGTTCTCAATGCGCACAGTGATTTGTGATATTTGTGGATGATGTGAGGACATGGTACAGATTATGATTTTCCGTTCACAAAGCATGAAGGAACCAAAAAGGCCAGATCCAATCCCCAGTGACCGCTCTAAAGCCTGGGAGTTCCACTTTTGGAGGGTTCCTTGACGCCTTGCGCATGTGGTGAGTGTATGCACCTTAAGGATCCTTCAAACCCCAGCTCCCCCATTTACCAGACATGAACCAAACGTGTTTTTGACTATTTTTGCATTTGAGGAAGATCAACAGGAGTTCACCCGCCATGACCGCCATGCCACCAAATTATTTTGGGTTTGACCAAGCACTATGACTGCTCAACCTGCAATTTCATGGCACAAAGCCAGCGGATGATCGGAGGTGAACGAGCTCAAAGGCTTCCTTAGCAAGACATCTCCGCTTCATGAAGCGGTGAAGCAGAAGAATCCTTCGGTGGTGGCTGCCTTGCTACAACTTGGTGCCGATGCTGATTTCAGAGACTTCCCGATGGGCCGCACTGCATTTGAATACGCTGAGCGAAGCGATTCAAGGAGTTCAGCCGAGCTAACACAGATCTTTCGACAGTGCCTCGTCCAACTCTATGGTTTCACCATGTTTCACCTGGCTTAGAACTGCGAGTCATGACAGCTATCCTTCACACCTACCACGTGGAATTCATAAAGATAAGAACAATTAAAGCCGCAGAATTCACTGAAGCAGGTGCTTTGGCATTCAATGCACTTCACCTCATACCCCTTGAAACATTGCTTCATTGTTTCCAAGTTTTTTCAGGTGTGGATGTGCGCCTGATTCATATCAGTTCTGCAAAACCCGGCAGTTGACGCATGCTCCATGGGGCTTTGAAGCCTTCTTTGCGGAGAAAGAGAAGGACCAGAACTCTTCACCGCTTTTGGGGTTCTAG